CCCGCCCCCCCCCGCCGCACGCCTCCCATGCCATTGGTATTCCAGCAACCGTGCAGCCGGCATCTCCTTGGAGATGGCAGCACAAATCCCATCCCCACCGCGAGGACAGGAAATTAAGCTCTAAAGCCCCTTCTTCTGCTCTCAGCCATTCTTCAGCCCCTGGCAGCTCTGGCTCTCTCCTGGCAGCTCCCTGCCTCCCTCCAGCCGCCCTCCTCCCCTCGCCCATCTTCATCCCCGCATCGTTCCTCCCGCAGCCCCTCGGAGGACGATGGGGGAGCATCGCAGGGAGGAGCGGGACTGGATCCAGCACTCTCCTTTTGTCTCCTCTGCTCTCGAGACCCCCCCATCACTCCTAGGGATGTTCCTACCAGCACAGGCAGTGGAAATAAAGCCGATCCTCACTGCGCCAAGGCCACAGATGCCGCTGCTCTGGCACAGAGCACTTGGGACAGCATTATTCCCCCCCATGCTGATCCGTGGATTAATCACAGCCACGAGTAGGAGTTCAATACTCCCAAGGGACCTGCCAAGGGGTGGGATGCAGCGGCCGGCTCTGCTGTACCCACGCAGGGTATCTCTCCCAGCCTTGGAGGAGATGAACCTCTCTTCTGCCAGGTTTGCCAGCTCAGCATCTGTTTGCGATGCAGGCTGGGGGTGCCACGCTGCAAGTCCTGTCCCCGGGACGGACTAAACCCCCATATGGGCCTTTGCTGCCAAGCCCCGGGTCCTGGCGAGCATACCTGAGCCAGCAGCAGCCCAGGCTGCATCCACAGGGGATGGCTGGACATGGTCACCCCCCTTCACTCACCCTTTTCGCTCACCTCTAGGTACCGCACCCAGGTTTGGGCCTCTGCTGCAAGGCATCGGGTAAATTGGAGAGATTATTTGATATAAATTGGAGGAAAGGGGGGCAAAAACACGCATTCCCCGCAGCGAGGCTGCACAGGCTCCGTCCTTGGAGGCTCTCAAGACCCAAAGCCGTGAGCCCACCAGTCACTCTCCATCCCCATCACCCAGCTCCATCCTCATCAGGGACCCGCTCAAGCAACTCCCCACTGTAAAGGAGCAGGACAGGGCTTGTGCTCCCTACTTTGGTTTGCACCTAAATTAAATGCCACCACTGCTCTGATGGGGTTTAAGTAAGACTGAGGCTCAAAACCTGTGTGCCTTCAGCAAAACCCTCTCTCTTCTCGGCAGGGAAGCAAGTGAGGTGCCCGCATCCCAGGAGGAGCGAAAGCGCCAGCAGAGCCCTGGAAAAAGGCTTCCAGGCTTCTGCGCCGATGTTTATTCCCCTGCAATTCAAATATCGGATAGGAAAGTCGAGGGCAGCCTTAGCCAAACACCCAAATGCTAATCAGCCTGTGTGGGAACTGAAAATAAATGACCCCCTTGATAAGGGGAGGGAAAGGCCAGCACCTTCTACCAATCGAGCCCCTTTGGTCTGAACCTCACCCCTGCGAGAGAGGAGCGGGTCACGGGGTACGAGGAGAAGAGGAGGGAGAAAGCAGTGCTGGGAGGAAGGGGGGGGGGTCAGTGTCAAAGGGGTCAGTTTCCTCCTACGCATCCTCCCAGCACCCTCGGGGACCACCCGCCAGCCATGCCCAGCCCGGCTGCTCCCCCAGCATCCCCCCCGGGATGCACAGCCAGCACCGCCACACTGATCAGTTCTGCTAACCTGCCTCTTTTTCAAGGGCCAGAAAGAGCCGCGTAAAGGCGGGTAGGAGGAGGTGAGAGGATGGGGGAAGGTCTGGAGGACGAGCAAGGGATCTGCTCGCTCGGGGGATGGCATTACCCAGGGGATGCTTGGCAGGGATGCATTAAGAGCTCTTCCCCCAGCGAGCGCGGGAGCAACGCTAATGCTTTCAGAGCAGCGCAAGGAGGGGGCAGGAGATGCACACGCTATCGCATGAACCAGCTTTGAGTCACAGCAGCCTCCAGACAACAAGCCAGGGCCAGGAGCGGTCCTCAGGGTGAGACCATGGGTGCAAGGGACCAAGCACCAACCCCATCACACAGTGCAGAGACCAGGGCGATGCCTCCCCAGGGGAGACGAGCTTCCCCGTTATCACGGTCATATAAACCCCCTTCATGCCGCCTCCCCCCTCCGCTGGGAAGCACAGAGGGCCTTTCATGCAGCAAACTCCTGCCTCCCCACCTCCCTCCTCTTCCCCTCCTGCTCGGCTGACAGCACACAGCTCGCTCGCCCCGAACACAGCCCCTTTCTTCGGATGGGTTTTGGAGCCGGGATTTCTCCTGCAGCTTTCTGGACCCTTCCCAAACCCTTCAACGTGGTTACAGATGCCCCTCGCTTACACTTCCTCCCACATCTCCTAATTGCTTCTAACAAGTCTCCCCTCCACAGTCGCTTACTGCAAGCTTGCTCTGCTCTCACCTACCGCATTCCCAGACCAGTCACCCAGGGATAAACCCAGACGTGACCCAGCAAGCCGAGCTCCCTCAGCACAGATAGCGGGAAGCTCACAGGAGTGTCCACAAAAGGATCAGGGCTGGGATTCCCAAAATCCCTGGCTCCTGCCCTCCAGCTGGATGCTCGGCCCTGACAAGCTCTGGCTGCTCAACAGGAAGGGTCCCATGGGGAGATTTCGGGTGGGATGCTGGTCCCTGCCATCAGGCAACTGCATACGGAACGGATGGAGCCACCGGAGAGAAACTGCCAGGATGGGACAGCAGTCGGGGAATACCTTGGCACGCTCTGCCCAGCTCCAGCTCCAGCCACGGCTCCGCTCCCCATCCCAAAGGTGCCCACGCAAGGATGAAAACCCCTGAGTGGCAGACAAGGACTCTTCAGTAACGAAGAGCATCGGCTCAGTGGCAGACGCGGCGCTGGAGGAGGAGGCAGCACCGCCCAGGACCTCACAGCATCCTCCCATCTGACACAGGTGCACAGTCAGAGTCCGATCCTGCTTTGCTCCAGGCTGTGTGTCCGGGTGAACGATGCCGAGCCCTTGGGGCTTCAGAGTTGAGACTTCTTCCTTCAGGAGAAGCCTCCAGCAGCAGCACCAACAGCAGCTGAGGACCCTTAGGACCCTTCTTCTCTCTTTTCCCCCCAAAACAGACCCTGAAGGGCACCAAGCGCCTGGGTTCAGCCAGCGAGAGGAGAAGTGATGCACCCCAGCCCGAGTTCCCAAGCACATCGGCTGGGTGGGATTCAGGGCACGGTCCCTGTATTATTTCCAACCCCTTTCCCACCAAGCTGATGCGCCAGAGCAGACGTGCAGAGCGATTTATCCATTGCCAGGAGCCACATCCCGCTGTAATACAGCCCTCCGCAGGGCTCCCCATCCCCTGCAGCCCTCCCGTGTTTGTCCCCTGCTTGCCCTGCACCCCCCTGTCCAAGCCTGGCTGCCTGCAAAGCTCCCAGTCCGTTCAAAGCCCGGATAAAGATGCAGGCAAGCTGGCTGGGACTGGAGAGGACTGGAAAAATTATGATATTCCAGCAAAACATTGCGTCTGAGCTCCAACCCCCAAAATCTTGTGCTTAAAAAAAAAAAAATGGCATTTAAGCTGCAATTTGGAAGTGCCCCGTGGAGCCCCCCGGGAGCTGTGGTTTGGTTCCCAAGCCCCACGTCGCCTGCGAGGGTCTGATGCTTTAGCCAGCCTCCCCCTCAGTGGGGCACGGCACCGTGCCCCGGGGGACACAGCTGGCGAGGGCAGCCCGGCCACGGGAGGAGGCACCCGTGCCTGCAAGGAAGCCTCAGCGCCGCTGCACGCAGGAGCCTACGGTTCCCCACCAGCTACCCCGATGAGCAAACCGTGACTGGAGTGATGGAAAAGGAGATGGATGGATTTAGCTCGGTGCTCCAAGAAATCCCCCCTGGGGGTGACCATCTGCTCTCCTGTCTTCCCATTCCTGCAGCAAAATCAGCACTGTCCATCCCTGAAATGCCGGTGGACTGGGCTGCAACAGGTTGCCAAAACCTTCTAGGCATGTTCGGAGCTGCATCTTAGCCTGGATCCCTACCTCCCGGCAAAAAGATGAGCTGGGAAGCAGCACCACCCCCCATGCACAGGAGATGGGGAAAGGCAAGGAGACACCAAATCAGAGCCGGAGCTCAGAGCATCCCCACCGACGCCAAGCCCTGTGGTCTAAACCAGAGCTGGAGATGGGTTTTACTACTCACAGAAACACGAGCCTGGGATTTGCTGCTCTCCTCAGCATCCCAAAGCTGCTCCCCAGCACATCCCGAAGACAGGGGTGAGACGCAGGATGAGCACCAGTCTCAGGCTGCCCACCCCAAGGGATAACTTCATCCCACGTTGCACTTCCCAGCAATGCAGGGCTGCTCCCCATTTTTGGCTTGGGGAAGGAGCCTGCCAGAGCAGCCAGCTCCAACGCTCAAAAATCAGGCAAAGCCTTTGGAGGCTGGAAAACACGGGGGCCTGGGTTAATTCCCTTAATTCCCGCTGCCAGCTGCTGCAGGAGACCTTGGGACCAACGCAGGAGATTGCCGAGGGACCTTCACAGGCACGTGCCACTACCTCGCCTTCCTCGGAGGACACAAATACAAGAGGAAAGGCCAGGGAGGAGCTGGGATGGGGATGGATGCCCTGCATCTCCATGCCACGAGAAAGCACTGCTCAGGAATGTGCTGGAAACACCAGAACAACACTGTGAAGGTCAGGATGCCAAGTACCCCAAGTCTGAGCTGACATCTTTTGAGGTCCACCACCCAAGTGAGGTCTGCGCATGTCCTGGCTGCTCCTGATCTCTGAACTTCTGCAGGATGCTTTGAGCTCTCCAAATCCAGAGGGATGGGAGAGGGACAAAGCTTCTCCGGCATCCAGTCCGGCTACTCTGAGTCCGCCTGCACAGCTGGGAAACAAGACTTCAGTAAAGAAACCCTTGCCCATCAAGACCATCGCATCCATCCCCTCTGTCCCCATGGAAAAGGGGAGCTCGTACCCTACCAAACTAATGAGCCCACAAAGTAAGTCAGAAAAAAACCAGCCCTTCTCTTGGGAAAAGCGTGGTGGTGGAAAGAAAGGGGACAGGGCCTCACTCATGGTGGCACGTGAAGCTACGACTGTGCCAAAGGGGAATGCCAAGCCCCCAGCGAGATGCAGTACCCATGTTGGGAGGATGCCAGCGAAAGAGGGATGAAGGCAGCAACTCGAGCCAGAAGACGCGCCAGGGATGTGGCAAGCAGCTGAGGAAGGACCATCCCGAGCATCAGCCGTGGGTTCAGGGAATAGAAAGGAGGGCAGCCCAACTCTGACGCCTTCCCAGGGTAAGGAATGGGGCAGCTCGGGGGGAGCGGGGCTCTGCCCAACAAGTCCTTACCAGCGAGAAGGGACACCAGATCTGCAGCTGCAAAAGCAATGGGGTTAAACTGGGTTTATACCCCCCGGGGAATTCAGGCTGATCTCTCCCTGCCTTCACGCGGGCACACGAGCTCGGTGGCCAGTAACAAATTAGTCCCAAACCACATCAGGACCGGTGGCAGAGCGATGCCTGGGGGGTGTCCACCTCTGCAGGAGCTAGCAGAAAGGAGAAGTGCCCTCCCCAGGGCTCTGGTGCCCATCCTCGGACCCTGGAGAGCTGCTAACGCTCCCGTTTTCCCCTGCAATATGACCGGTGGCATCTCTCCAGCCATGCAGGAGTGCTCCACACCCCTGCGCATCCTCCCAGGATGGTGCCACGGGGCAGAAAACCGAGTCCATCCCTCGGGACTCAACCCCCAAGGGCTGAACGGGGGCACCCTGCAATGATGGGGCTTGGAGGGGAGCGGAAAGAGCAGCAACCTGAAGCGAGGCGACATTTAAACCCAGACGCAGCTGCAGTGAAGGTGGCAGCATCGGTGTTTTTATTAAACCCACCGGTTTAATTACCAACAGCCCGGCGCTCTCCAGCGCAGACACAGCCTCAGAGCCAGCTGCCAGAGAAGAGAAGCGCGAGCATCCCTCCACCAATGCTCCTAACAAGCTGTTAAGCAATTATAATTAGCCAGCAAGGAGTCAATATTGCAAACCCCCTTCCACCGCCGCAAAAACGCAGCACTGCCCGCCGTGCTGCCTGCTCCATGGCACCCGGGGGGAAAGCCAGGCGGCGGGTGCTCACACGGGCCGGCTGGCAGCCAAGTGACAGCAGATGATATTGATGGGGTCGAGGAGAATGGGGCTTGTGACCATCCTGGGGATGCAGGCAGGGGTGCAGGATCAGTCCCCCAGACAGCCCTTCCCTGCCTGCTTCAGCCCCTCTTGCCTGCTTAGATGCCACTTTTACCTGCCGCTGGCTGAGAAAAGGGTTTCGCTTCGGTCCCTGGGTCACTACCTCAAGGCACAGACGCCTTGCTGAGGGAACTAGAGGAGTGGGGGGACTTTTTTCCTGCCTCCCCCAAACCAATGCTCTTCATGCTGTTTACCCACTCTGTGACATCCCTCTCAGCCGGCACAATGGAAATTGATGCAAATTGCTCAGGGCTGGCGATGGAGCTGCCAGGAGACCACTCAAGCTGGCAAACACCTACCAGGAGAGGCAGCCCCGACATTTCCATGCTCAACTCAGGGTCACGAATCCCTCCTGTGCACTGACAGCACCCAGATCTCCCCCATTTCCACCCAGCTCACACCTCACCGCACATCTGTTGCCCTCCATACCCCATCTCCTCCAGCATTATTTCATTTTGCCCCAGCTCCAAAGCGTGCTGGAGCGGCTCCGGCTGGACCACGCACCCGTCCCCCCCGCCCTGCCCATTTTGATGGAGACGATGCTCCCTCACAGCCCTCGGCACAAAGGTTTCGCTTCCTGGGACGCAGCCTCCGGAGGAGGTTACTCATAGCCTGTGATGTGCTGGCAGTCAGGCAGAATTCATTTCAGCCTAAAAGCATTTCAGCCTCCGACCTCCACGCTGCCCTGCAGACAGCCCGTGGGGTTCACCATTTCACCTGCCAGTTTTCCAACCTGTTTCAGCCAGTGTCTGGTTTATCTCCACCAGCCCCGGGTGCTTTTAACCTTTTCCTTAGCTTTAATTTGGCAGCGAATTTGGCTGAGCTCTACCCCTCTGCGGGGACCATCCGCTCCTGTTCAGCCTCCCCCATGAAATCCTCCTGCGCATCGCACTTGTGCGGTCCTTGCCGGTCAGCAGCCGGCTCCCACCCGTCTCCTCGCCCAGCTGAAATCCCTCCATCCTGCCATTGCCAAGGCAGCCAGCCACCGATATCTTGGGGTGGCTGCTCGTCCCCTCCCAAAGAGCAGCTCCAGAGAGGCCCGGCCGCGGCACGGCACGGGAAAGGGATGGAGGGGAGACACACGGCGGTGCTGGGAAGGATAAAGCGCCCCAAACACCAAAGCAAAGAGCTCCTGGTGCTTGGTAAAAGCTTGTACCATGGGGTGTGGAAAGCACTCGCCCTCCCGAGCATCTCCAGGGGTATAGCAGCTACGCCTTCAGAGCAGAGGGTTTTCCTAATAAAAAACCAACATCCCTGCCCTGGCCCTCACAGCCGTCACCTCCGGGCCAGGGGAAGCCAAACGCGATGGCAGCAGTCAAGACGTGTCACCCACCGAGACGCCCTTATGGGTAACCCACGGCACCTCCCAGCACAGCCACAGCCGCCCAAGCGCCCGCTGCCGGAGCAGCGCCGTGCCCAGTGCCGTCATGGGCTCAGAGGGCATCGAGCCAGCCGGCTGCAGGACAGGGCTCCTCTGCATCGTGCCGCCGCAGCCGGTCCCGGCACGCCAGGACCCACCTGCTTCTCGCCTCCCCTGAGCACGGCCATGCAGCTGGCGCCCGGTTGGGGATGCGCTCACCTCCCCGCATCCCTCCGAGCCCCGTGGACACAGGCAACGAGCAAAGGTCCCCACCACGCCAAATCCCCCAGGATGTCGTGCTGGATGAACGGAGCTATGGGTCCTCCAATGTCCTCCCTGGGATGCTCCGAGAGCTGCTCAACTCCATCACGGCACGTCAAGGCCGGAGGAGAAATGCCATGCGTCTGAGGGACCTGCCGCCCCTTGGCCAGCCAGGCTTTCTGGAGACCCTTTCCGTATGGATCTGCCTTTCTCCCAGACACAGAGGAGGCGACCAGCGACCCCGGCTCACTGCAGAGCGTCAACAGCTCTACAGCTAAAGGAGACTTCAATAGAAGCCCCGAGAGTAGGAAAACAGCGCAGGAAATTAATCGACAGCAAATGCCCACATTAAAGGGGATGGGGAATATTTTTTATCAGGGTGTTTCATGTCTTTTTTTAATGCTTTTAAAAGGACTTAAGCTGCCAGGACTTGGAAGAGCCTCCATGGCTGAGGAGCGATGAAGGGACAGGGCACTTTGCTCTCTTCTCCTTCTGCCGTCACCGAGGTCCAGCGGGACCCGCTGACCCATCCCCACACAGACATGTCAAAACCATCCCCTCTGCCCGGGGTCTGGGGTTTCTGCAGAGACAGGAGCAACAAACGTGCCCATAACATCCTTTCCCTGGGGAGGGACCACGCAGCTCCCAGGAGGGCAAAGCAAAGGGTGAAGCATCCCTAGAAATAAAGCCGCGTTCCTGCTCCTGCCGTTACACGCTCAGTGCCGGAAATCCTGGGGCGCACAGGGTGAATCCCCCGGGATCCGCTCCCACCCTCGCCCACGCCGCACCTGAGTTTTTTGGGCAGAGGGAGCAGGACCCAGGGCCAGGGTTATAAAGCCCTTTTCCCTGGGTATGGGGTCAGATCCAGGCTCCCCCCACGCCCTGCCTTACTGGTCACGGCTGCGGGCAAGAGGACCGGCTGTGGCACTGAGCCCCCACGGCCGAACCCAGCTCAGGGTCCCCACGCCGTCACTCCAGCCTGCCGTGACCCTGGGAACAGATGGCTGGAGCAGAGACAGGATCAGGCCCAGGCACCCTGCCCCATCATACCGCTGGGGTGCATCACAGCAAGCCCTCAGCCCCTCCAAAGCAGCAGCAGGAGGGCAGAGTTAAGGATAAATTACCCTGGCATAACCCATTTGGTTTTGCTTCACTATCAAACACTGCAATTCCCCACCTCCCCTGGCTTCAAGGGATTTTTTGGGGGTCCCCCCCAGATGCCAAGGGGACCAGGTCGCAGCCAGGCTGGGGAGAGGTGCTGCCACGGGGTGGTTCAAAGCCAGTCATGCCTTTGAACAGCCAAATTTTTGCCTTTGAATAACCCAAAATAGGCACATGCCAAATTTTTCCCATACTTCTCCCCCACCACCTGCCAAAAAGCCCCGAGACGCTCACAGCCCCTCCCAACCAAAGGACAGGGCTTGCTTGTCCATCCATCCACCTCCTTTTCCATCCGGCTCTTGGCAGGTCCAGCACGGTGACAAAGAGCCGATTCAGGGCAGCAGGGCACCTGAGCGGAGCAGGGCAAGGAGCCCAGGGCAAACCGGGCCACAGCCCAGCAAGGAAGACGAGGGCTGCAGGGCTTCCTGGCCAAATAAACGGTCCCAATGACACCAAAACCAGCCCACCCCCCCGGCTCCAAACCTCCCTTTTTGGCAGCAGGGATGGGACCAGCTTTTCCCAGCACCGGGACCCGGTGCTAAGGGGGTGTCCATCCGGAGAAAGCAGCCTTTTCTAGCAGGGATAGGAGAGTGGGGCGATGCCAAGAGAAAGAAAAGCAGCACCACCTCCTCACAAACCCCGCTGCCCTTCCTCTTCAAAGGGCTCTTTCTCATCCTCTTCCCTACCTGCTCCCGGCATCCCTGACAAAAGGAATGAAACCCACCGCTGTTTGCAGCGTTTCAGCCTCCCGATTAAAATCAAAGGATACATCGCAACCGCTCTGTCCAAAAGAGATGCGTTATCCCCTGCAGTTCAGGGGAAGCGCTGCTGCGCGTCATCCCAAACCTTCTCCCTCCTGCTCTCCCTGCGTGCGAGACCCCGAAGGACAGGTCCCCAGGGAGGGACAGGCAAGGACAAGGCTCTGCAGGCAGCGACGGCTGAGCCGAACAAAGAGCATCCAACCCATCACTGCCTCCGGATCACAGCATTTTTGGGAGCCCTCTGGACCACGGCAGAGGGGTGTCCCCTGCTCCCCCATGCCAGAAGCTCTTCTTGCAGACAAAGTTCATGAGGACGCGTGCAGCCAGACCCAGGCAGTGCCGCATCCTGGGGGTAACAAGAAGCCCGGCTGGGTTTTCCTCCCCAGACGGCCCCGCTTTAGCCGTGAATTGCCTTTAGCATCCTCCTCGCCTCCTCCAGCACACATCCTGCACTCCCCCAGTCGCAAAACCCTCCCGAAACCTGGTTCCCAGCACCACTGCAATACCCCCGTGTGCTAAATCATTACCCCGGCGAGACGGCTGCCGGGGGAGCAGGACCGGCCCCGCGCCCCTGCTAAGAACCATTTTAGAGTTTTACTGTAATTTCTTTTCCTTTCTTCCTTTTTTTTCCTTTCCACCTGGCACGCCAGCATTTCCACCCCATTGACTCAGAGCGGTTTCCAGCCGGGAGAACACCGTAATGGCCTCATTATTTCAGATGAGGAATCTGTGTGTTCAATTAGGCAGAGAAGGGTAATTATCTACTTGTAGAAGATAAGAAAAGGGGGGTTATTTTATCAGGGACATAGCACCAGCACGGTTCCCAGCCAGGTCCCCAGATGCTCCAGCTCCACATGCAACCGCCAGCTGGGCCAAGGGGATGCAGGCACCCCCCCAAATAATCCCCCCATGCCTTCGCTGTGCTCCTCAACACACGCAGACCCCACCACCGCTGCTTGACCTGGTCCTCCCCACCTTACATCCCTCCAAGCTACCAAAAAGCCTCATGCCCTGCACCTTCAGCCTCCAGAAAGTGTATCTGCTTGGTGATACTTCATTTAATGAGTAATTAACCTTTTTTTTTTCTCTCATACATCCTCTGCCAGCTGACACAAGCCGGGCAGCATCCTCAGCAGCAGGCAGACAGGTTCTGGCTTACAGTGGCAAAAAAAAAAAAATAAAGTCAACTCCAAATCTCAGACCTTTTGGTACGCAGACCCTGGCGGTGATGCTGAAGAGCCCTGCATCCTCCCCAGCCACCTCACCCCCTCCAGGGACAGGTGTCCCCCGTATCCCTAAGGGATCTGGGACCAGGACACACCAGAGCTCCCTGCAGCAGGGTCCCAGCTGGCAAGAGATCCCATGGCCGTACGGATCAGGAAGGAGGAAGGAGACACGCAGGCTGGGAGGGCACGGTGACCTCCCCCTCCCGCTTGCTCGCCTGAGACCAGGGACACCCGCTAAGCCCCGGGGAATATCGGGTACCAGCTGCTTTCCGTTGGGAACGCCATGCACACTAACGGCCCCCAGCTTGGGGGGGGGTCTCCCACGAAAGCTGGGAGATGGAGAAGAGCAAACCCCATTCCCACCGCAGTGGGACCCCCATGGCCACGCTTTTCCCTCCAGCACGACACAAAGGCAGCTTCAATGCGAGCGAGGTGGAGGAGGAAAACATCTCTGGGTAGAGGGGAGCTGCCCCGGAGCCCCTCTCCAGCACAGCTCTGCCTTTCAGCTTTCCCCACGTCTCAGCCCCAAACCCTTCCCTCTCCCCCCAAACTCTCGCACCAACCTTTTTCTTGAATATATATTTTTTTCCTCAGATATATTTTTTTATTCCTCTTTTTTTTTTTTAATTCCATTCAATATTTTTCCAACTAAAACGGCTCCCTGGCTCTCCCACTCCAGCTCTCTGCTGGCTTGCAGCAGCAGGACTAGGGTCCATCTACACGTGACTGAATCTCTTCCCCAGCCTCCACCCAACCCCTGTCCATCACCACACTTCAAAAAAAAAAGGCTAAGCAGGACCTAAACTCCAGCCTTGCCACGCGTTCGCCCAGGCTTTAGGCACCGATTAGAAAACCGCAGTGCAAGGAGCAGCATCTCCCTGGAGTCCGGTCCCGGACAGCGGAGAGGGGCATGATCCAGCCCAGGAGAGGTCCAGCTTCCCCTGGGGAAGCACCCACCTCCCCGCACCCCAGCCTGCAGAGAAGATGCCGGTGCTCCCCGTGGCATGGGGCAAACCCAAACCCCATCGCCGGACCAGCGGAAAACACCACCAGAGCACGGTCCTTGCCCAGCACCTCCCAAACCGTGATCCCCCCACGCCGTCCCC